CAGGCAGCGTGTGCACTTCTTACAAGTATGCTGATGACATTCTTGAGTTCTGCTCACTTTCTTCTATTCACTTCAGAGTTTCTCAGTTTGAGGAAAGGTTTGGGTTGTTCACTTGTTGACTTTAAGCAAAAACTCTTATACAGTAAGCAGTCTCATAAGCTACGTGTACCAAAGTTGTTCTCAAGTAATACCCAGTGCTTTTCTGTGAGTGTAGTGTGGAAAAGTGTAATAGCAGTATGACTGCCTTAAAGCTAGCCAGGTGCATTAAGGTGCTGTTCTCTATCATGCTTGCCAGTACAAGAACACACAGCTTGCTTGGGAGTGGTTTTAGATCTGTTTCTTCATGTTATTCCTCTTTCAGACAATGGGAGCAAAGGGTCTGAAACATGCTTCTGAGATTGCTATACTGAATGCAAACTACATGGCAAAGAGGCTAGAGAAGCACTACAAAATCCTTTTCAGAGGAGCACGAGGCAAGTATTGGACAATTTGTTTTCTTCCACAAAGCGGACTTTTTTTTTCCTAGTGTAGAAATTGGCTTGCAATATGGTTCTTTTTTAATGCTACGTGACAGCTGCATCTCAAACTTCTTTTGATGTTCACAAGGAGAGAAATAAGCTGCCACACTGCTTCTGTGGAGGTATTGCAATGAAACTGAGACACTTGAAAGTAGAAGAAAAAATGCCTGTTTGTAATTAGATGAAATGATGACAGAAGATGGAGTAAACCTTGGCATCAGGTTGTTCTCCCTGAAGTCTAGTAGCAGATCAATGAACACTAGAAAAAGGAGAAGCGACAAAGTTGAGATCCCCAAATCTCCCATAACCAGTGGCACAACAATTTAAGAACTAGAAGCAATTTTTGGATCTGTACTTTCCCTTGCACTCTTTCTATAGGGGAAAAAAAAAAAAAATCTCTCATTTCTGCTCCTTATTCTCCTTTGTGAGGTGGGGGAGAATCCCCTTGGCAATGCAAAATACTTTAGCTACATTCTAATTCCCTGCTACGGCTCTCTAGTCTTGCAGCAGGACAGAAGTAATGAATAAGAGGTGAAAGAATTATCTGTTTTAGTAGAGTAACTATCAGAGAATGCTATTTTGCTTGTTTAAGCTGAATGGCACCAAAGAACAGTTGAATACAGTATGTATGCTCTTCAAAAAATATGTCTTAAATTTCATGAAGTACACCTTAGCTAAACCTGCAGGTTGCATTTTAAGAGAATATATTGTTTCTTCACAGAAGTGAATGGAAGTTGCAAATTTTGAAAGATTCAGCAATGAAATGCAACAAGGTTCTCCAGGATCATGGATATAAACTTAGATAATTTATGTCTTTAGCCTCTCTATAACACCAGATTTGAGCTTTTCTCTGGTATAACATGAAACTGATTATCTTGTACATGGGTAATTCAAGGTGGCCTAAGACCCAAATGGTGTTGGGCCACTGACAAATCCAATTATTTTTCAGAGTACTTGTAAATTATAGGAGCTACTTTGACCACCCTTTCCTAGTTCTGATCTTGAAATGAGGCCCCTTCTTAATGTGATGTGGGACTCAGAGGGCCAGTCTTCAAATACTGAGTTGTGTATCTCTTACCTGATAATTTCTCAGGTTTGAACTTTTGCCCAAGTGGGTATTTTTTAATTTGTCTTTTTGCCATGTTCTCCACAAAACCAGTCAGAATAAACTGCTTGGTAGATTGCATTATGCTCCTAGTAAGTAAATGTAGCGTGCACTTCTTCGTTTACAGGTTATGTAGCCCATGAATTCATTTTGGATACGAGACCTTTCAAAAAATCAGCAAACATCGAAGCTGTAGATCTTGCTAAGAGACTTCAGGATTACGGTAAGTCAAATGCCTTTTTTTAAAAATAGCAGCGTAAGTGAGAATTACCTAAATCTTTTCTAAAGAGAGTCAGAAACACTCTAGTCCTGTGCTTATGGATGGTGAATCTGTCATGATCATTTTAGGTGTCCTCATGTTTATTAAGGGCTTAGAGAGATATTTGCATCAATTGAGTTGTAGTAGCTACTTACAAGTCTGCCGCTATCTCCCAGTTTTGTAAACTGCCCCTTCAAATTTGCGACTACATGACTCTTAACCATTGGGTTGGAGCCAAGAGCTTAATAAGATTCCAACCAAAAAAAAAAAAAAAAAAAGAAAAAGAAAAATATTTTTGAAGTAGGATAATAGGATTTAAACACTTCCATCCTGATACAGTTAGGCAGCTTTGTACACATGCTCTGAAGAATGTGATCGTGGCTACTCTTCGTCTACCAGACAAGATGACCCATTGAACTGCTTGATCCTATGCAACTGTGCTTCTAACAAACATGCATAAAAGCTGTTAAAACCCTAACCAGTAATACCTCATCAGTGAAATAATCCAAAGCCCAGCTGTGATACCAAAACAACCATCCTTCCTGCTCTTTGTAATGTGCTATGGCCTTAAATAGCATGCCGCACTTTAAATAGACTTTTCAATAGGTATGGAGGTGAATTACAAGGATAAGTTTAGTAACGTTCCATCCTCTGCAGCTGAAAGAGAAGCATCACAAGGCTGTAATTAGCAGTAGTGCAGGAAGGGAATCATGAGAGACCACCTTTTCTTTTTACCTTGTTTACCAGTGCAGAAATCTATACCTGTCTCACTTGGCCATTCAGCCTGTCATAAGAAGGTAAAGTGACAAAACACTTCTACTGAAGTGAGCAGCAGGAACAGAAATAACCCAGGAAAGAAGCAATATACTTCAGGCTGAAAAGTAAGAAAGCAAAAAGAGCAGGTTTTAAGAGTGTTTCATTAAATCAATGTGTAACTCTACTGTAAATAATGCAATGGCATTACCCTTCAGTGTTAAAAACTGAGATACTTGAAAAGTCTGTCTTATCTCTATAGCACACTGCCAACACTACCAATGAGTTCAGTCCTGCAAGGATTATAGAAAGGGCTGAATTTGTGAATCAATTGCTAGCTGATGCATATATTAACTCATAACCTATTGTCAGTGACTGATTTCTTCTTTATCAGGTTTTCATGCACCAACCATGTCCTGGCCAGTGGCAGGGACGCTTATGATTGAACCAACGGAGTCTGAAGACAAGGCAGAGCTGGACAGATTTTGTGATGCAATGATCGGTATTCGGCAGGAAATCGCTGAAATAGAGGAGGGCAGGATGGACCCCCAAATTAACCCACTAAAGGTAATATGGCATGTAGAGCCAGTTAACAGCATCAGCTTAAGCCTTGAGACTTACTTGAGACTACGTGAGCCTGCTTCCTGGTCTTTCAGTACTCTCGAAAATAACCGTGTGCAACAGTGAACACATGAACTTCTTGAAATTAGACGTTTTTAGAAACCTTAAACGTTTTCAAAATTTGAATTTTGACTTTTTCAAGTCAGAAGTCTGGCCTTTGCTGACAGAGCAGCAAAATTTATTTACGCAAGTACATGATCTATAGTTTTTGAGGCCATCTCAAAGTAATGAAGGAGAGATGCTTATTTATCTGGTTTAAGAATGGAAGTGGAATGACCTTAAAACTAACAATAAAATAAAGATTGAATGAATTGTTTTAGCAACTGCAGCACAAAATTGCTATAGGCTCAAGTTCTGTTCAACTCTTGTAATGCTATACTGACTTTTTAGATACCGAGGGGATTTAGTGAAAAGCTGGAAGCATATTCAAACCTTGGGTACTATCTTCAGGCAAACTGAAAAAAAATCCAGATACTGACTTGCTTCCTGTTTTAAATCTGCCTTTTTTTCCCCAGATAAACCGTATTCACAAGAGACTGTCTAGAGAGTAATTATTTATATGTAGTAATGTGAACTTGAAGGAGGGTTTACATTAATACGTTCAACTGAATTCAATAATTTCATGTCCTAAACGTCTTTTTGCTTATAGATGTCACCACATACTCTGAACTGTGTCACTTCCTCCAAGTGGGATCGTCCTTATTCCAGAGAAGTGGCAGCATTCCCACTGGTGAGTAAATAATGGGATCCTAGTGGTGTGGTAATACATAGATGTGCTTTCTGCTCTGTGGTTTTCTGGTCAGTTGGAGATGAAGTAATCTGGTAAGAATAAAAACTTCAGAGCCATTTTTACTGTTGCTCAATTTTTCTGTGTGTGAGCTCTACAGTAGTTCCATTAGTTTTGTTTTCCAAGACAAGGAAAAAAGATCTTAAAAAAAAAAGTGTCTACATATTAAGTGCAGACTTGGATTTCTAAATCTCAGCGCTTCACTACTGGATATTCCCATTGGAAACAGCTCGCTCAGTTCTGACGTACTGCACCAGGGGTTCCCAAAACAGAGTCCCACATCTTGACGTTCAAAGCTCTGCTCCAGAGAACTTGGATGAGGGTTTGACAAGATGCAGGGTCAGCATGAGGCAAGCCACACCAATGCGAGCCTGCTACAAATAAAGGTCAAATGGGAGCCGGATACATCAGCCTTCTTCAGAGCATTACATAAAATTGCTTCCACAATCTTAACAGCTAAATATATATGTAACTAACTTTTCTCACCTAAAACTGAATTGCATCTATTTTATTGCTATGTACTGTTTAAAAGAGGAAGAATTTAACTGCACCTGTGAAGTTTGCCACCTTGTCTTATATATTATAACTATATTGAACAGCACAGGTCTTGGTAGTCTCCTCCACTTTTCCTTGGTTCCTATCTGTAAGCCAGTTATTCAAAGGGTCATAGTTTTCTTTCATCCCATGACAAATGCTTCTTTGCAAGCATTTGTTAGAGGAAAAGGTTACACTTTTTGGAAAATCTAAGTATTCTTTTGACTGCCAACTCTATTATACATGCTTGTTAACTTTCAGGGACTGCAAATAGATTTGAAGTATGACTTCACTTAAAAAAATCCACTTTTCCAGCATTTGTCATTCTTAAAGCTTCTAATGTTTATTACAGTTACGTAGATTTGCTTGGTAGAAAAATTAAAATAGTTGTTTTTTCTTCTGTACATAGCCATTTGTGAAGCCTGAAAGCAAGTTTTGGCCCACAATTGCTCGCATTGATGACATATATGGAGATCAACATCTGGTTTGTACCTGCCCACCAATGGAAGCCTACGAATCTCCCTTTTCTGAACAGAAGAGAGCATCTTCGTAAGACTGCTTCCAGCTGCTGGGATGTCTGAGTCCATCAGGATGGCCTTTTCCTCCCAGACCTGATAGGGGATTTATATACTGTGTATATTTTGGATAATCACCATGTTTGTTAATTGAATCACTGCTCAGTTAAAATGTAAATACAATCAATACGTTAGGTGTAAACAAAATGTGATTGTTCCACAGCAGTTGATGTTGAAGTTGCCTTGATTCAGCATTTTGTCTGTTCTGTCCTAAAGTTTTAACAATTAACACGCGGTTTGCAAAGTGGCATGGAAGACACGGTTAAAAAAAGTAGAAAAGATGCAGATGCATAAGGCAATAGTAATGAATATTAACTGCAGGAGTAATTGTTTATATTTTATAAAAAAAGATGAAGTAGATTGTTTAATTTACTTCACGTATTACCACTAGCATTGCTAGTGTTAATATTTCATACTGGTTTTTTTACCTACCAATGTTAGTACTCTAATAAAATTGGTAAGAATTTTAAGTGTTGTCATGTTCTGGATTTTAACTTTTCAGCTGGATTTATCTAACAGAGCAGTATGAAATTATGAAGCTTAAGTTCTGATTTGTCAGAATTGCCACAGCAGTAACAGCTTCTACACAAAGCAAAATACTGGCAGAGATTAATATTGAAATAAATCTCTGATTTTTTTAATGAGCTAGAATGATCAGTTTTACTGAGCAGTAACAAACTTAACTTTTTTCTGTATCACATCAATTTTTCCTTGTAGTTCCATCTAATCCTCTCTTATTCCGGAGAAGGCATGAAACACCTTTTCTAACAGACTGTGAACTGCTTAGTATGAGTTAGGTCTTGTCTAACAAAGTATTCTCCTTCCACAGTTTCTCAAATCTCTTATTTTGGGTACTGGCTTTGGTTTATACAGTGCACGCAACTTCCTTGCTTTGTCATGTAAGTCTACAGCTTGTGTGAAAACTGATTCCCAGCTTTAGCTCTCCAAGAATACTGACAGCACCCTGAGACCGGGGCCCTACTGCTACACACAATGCCACATTCAGTTACTCAGTAGCCAGAACGCAGACCTTAAACAGGAGCCTCTTCTAATCTGTTCCCAGTCAAATGTATATAAATCCGATCCTCTCACCAGTTACACAGACAGACTGTACCTGTTACGAGCGCGTTTGGAAGGAACCTGAGCGGGTCTGTGCGGATTCATTTGCGTTTGGTGCAAGTGAGCACCCCTGTAGAGACAAACTCATTCAGCCACACGAAGTAGCATTTTGGTGAGCGAGGAAGCAGGTACCGGGGTAACACTCAGACGGGGGAAAGGGCTGCACAGTTTCGTACCTTACAACCAGCAACTACTCGACTTCTTCTTGAACGTCTACGTGCACACTCATGCCTGGGAGCTTTCTCTGAAGTGACACAAATGAGGCTAGTGTTCACAGCACTATTTAAAGTACTGCAGATGACAGGAGACAGGAATGGATTTCATTAAAGGAAGGTTAGGCCAGGTATCAGTTTTGATATGAAAAGCTGCACCTAGGTCCTAAAACGTCTAAATACACAGTGAAGAAAATTAGAATAATATACTCTAGAATTTACTATTGAAATGGGCGGCTTTCAGCAGCTACTGATACAGCACTAAGGGTGTAAAAAATTGTGAAAAAACACTGCAAACTTGTAATGTGAAGAAAGGACAATCTTTCTGCGTTGCCAATCTAACTCCACAAAGTCTTGTCAAGCTACTTTAATGTTTATTAAAGGCAGTTTCATGTTGCTTGACTCTGAATATCACTGAAAAGACATATTAAAAAATTGGTTTACGTAATTTTGTATTAAGCAGAGAACTTCCCATTGTTGACCTCAAACTGACAAATTTATCTCACCAATTAATTGGTAAAAGCTATCAAACGGGAAAAAGCATTAAAAGGTGTAAAATATTTCACAGCACTCAACTACTAAGTAAAAAGCCACGTCTTTTGTGCTTACTGCACTGATGCAATGATTGTTACAAAGGTAAAATTACATCTGTTTTCACTACAAAATACTGAGCTACCATTCTGTAAAACATAGAAGTTCAACAGGATATAAGAATCTGTCTACATCTCTTTTAAACTGTATACTTAACACTAGTACCAATTAACCTACTGAACAAAGGCTGAACCCTCTTTCTAGTAAGCACAGAAAAAGCCGAGGAGTTAAATCTTTCAAAACTGTTCAGCAATGCCTGGTTTTTTGATATACGACTAGAGAGATAGTACCAGCATTACGTGTTTTGGATGCAACTGAAATCCTAAGTAGAACAGGGAGGGAGCAGGGGGGAGAGAGAGAAGTTACTTATTTTGGATGAAGCGAATAAGCCATTAAGCTAACTTTCAGCCACAAAAAACAGCACTGCCATGTGCATCTCAATGATCGGTTCATTACCACACCAGGGTAAGGGCAAGATCTTAAATTACTGAGAATGACATATGTACTTTGATAGGTACTTCTATATGTGCCTACTTCGCAGGCTGGAGGCTGCCAGTGCAGACCCATGCCTACGGTGGGAATCTCTGGCTGACGGCTGCGCAGGGCACCGGCAGCTCCCAGCTGCCCTGCGCTGGCGCTGGCACCAAGCACCGCCGACACCGGCGGGGCAGGAGGGGCTCCCTCCGACTCCGGTACCTGGACAGAGCGCTAACAAGCTTCCTTCAAATGCTCAGTAGAGACCAGAGTAGCTACGTAAGAACCTCTGCTATAGAGTATGTGAGAGCCCATGGATATCGATATCAGGTTGGGGTTTTTTTTAATTAACAATGTTTTTTTCATTGAGAAATGAGCCAAGGAATATAAAGCCTCATGTCTGAAAAATAAGCAGCCCACCTAAAGAAAGCATTTAGAAATCTGAAAAAAAATTCAATAAAAATGTTATGATTTAAATAAGTGGGTAATAGTAAAAACAAAATTAGCAACTTTTCTGAATCATAAAATATTTAATAAGGTATATTTTGGGGGGGGATATATTGTATATAAAATTTCAGATCACAATATGAAGCGATTTGAACCCTCTCCAAGCTAGCACTGCCTTCAATGCCGTGTAGATGTATTGCCACTGATACAAGACCTACTAAAAGCATACAGTTTAACTAATACAGAAGTGGCTTTTTTATATGAAATATTTTTTACACAACTAGAGTGTCTTGAATACCCTCTTTAAGTGCAAAAAACACAGATCACTTTACACTAATGCAGCAACAATGCATTCATATTGTTCTCATTAGTCATTAGTAGTCAACTTGCATAAGATACAAGAAAAGCACAATGAAGCTCACAAAAATAGACTAAAAATCAGCCTGTTCTTGCAAAAAAATACAGCATAATGGAAGAAAAAGACAAAAAAGGATTATGCACACCACAGAATTTGCTGTTCTTTAATCCAGCTGGCTTAAGTGCTGTTTCTGTTTTTTTGCTGTTTTTTGTAGGGTTTTGGTTTGGTTTGGGGTTTTTTTTTGTAAATCAAACCACATGGACCAGGCACAACTAATATTCAGGAGGCAGTGTGTAGCTAAAACTTCACTAACTTTTTGTCATCCCCATGATTTATTTTCCTCTGTCCTGAGGTAGTTACAAAAAAACACATCATAAATTAAGCATCAGCTAGGCCAGTAAGAGCTGAGGCTTTTCTTTTTTTTTTTTTCTTTTTCTTTAAAAACTATTTGTTAACTGGCCAAAACTACCCTTGATGTTAAAAGACAGCTGAGAATTAGAGTTCTCACTACACCAAAAAGATGGCTATGAGGGGAAGAGGGTTAGCTGCTTCAAAATGTGACAATATATTGAGTCCCATCAAGCTGGCTGGTCCACTGTTGAATTTCCCATGTTTATTCTCCTTTACTGTCTATAAAGTCACTGGGAGAAGTACGGAAGGATCTGAGCACATCATCGTCCTTTACTGTAACCAGGGAAGAACTGGTCCAGTAGTGTCTGCAGTATCTTGTTGGGAACCATGGTGTAGCCCTTTCCCAGGTCATAGCGGCAGGCAGGGCAGGTGAAGACTTCAGCTCTGAAGGAGCGCTGTAAACAACTCTAGGATGTACAAAGACAGAGAAGTAAATCGTGAGAGCTTTGTTTTAGACTGACAGCTTAACCAGCAAAAACTAAGGAACCACTATAAACCAAAGATGCTGTACTACCAGAAAAAAGGAAGTCCTTACAAAGCCCTCTGCCTCGCTGACTAAGCAAAGGAACTCTGCTCTGGGCTGGGATGTGAAACACTGAGCTTGGCAGGAATTAAAACAAATCACTGCTGAGATTTCGTTTCCGTTACTGCCTTCCCGTGAATCACAGCCACATCTGCAGCTTCCTTCTAGCTTTCCAGTTAGATTGCTACAGTTTTCCAGACCTTCATTTCACGAGTATACCGGGTATACTGTTCATGTAACAATCTCCACCTACCTCATCGGATCAGACTCAGTTAAGCCTTAAAGACACATGTAGAATAATACAATCTCTAACACATCAGTGTCAGTGCTGCCCTCCTTACTGTTACCATAGGCTGCAGATAGCCCAAACACGTGAGCTGGATATCAGAAATTCATCAGGGCAGGTCTGTGCCCAAACAGCAATAGCAGCGTACTATCAAACTATTCTTACAACTTTAACTGGATGTTGTATTCGCAAATATTTACTGATGTCTTCAAATTCTGCGCTTTCTGAGTTTGTTGCCATTCAGCTTTCTCTTCTCCATGGTTTTCCAATTTCCACAATTCTAAATATTAACCCCTTCATAATACTTTTTATGTTTTTTTAAGGGTCCATAATCATTCTATTTGTGCACGCCATCCATAACAACACGGTGATTTTTACTGGAGTGATACATATCTTCTTGAACAGCGAACTTGCATTATCAGATATTGTACTAGGATGATAATAGTCTGAGTCCTTTTAGGCTCTTAGGCAGAAATACTAGGTATGGCAGGCACAGTTCAAATATGCACAGTTTAGCGCATGATTCATAGACACTCCTGCTACAAAAATTAACTCTGGTACAAACTGGATTCCAAACGCCTTACATTATATCCAAGATTTTAAGATACATGAGTTACAAATTGACTTCTGTGGCCCTCCTACCAAACATAAACGATGCCAAGAATAACAAGATAAGGTAACTTACTCCAAATAAGCCCAAACAATTTTCTTGTATTTACCTGCGTCCTTTCCATAACTCTCAATAAGTGTTACACAATTATAAAATCTGGTTTTATTCCTTAAGTATGTAAAATTACATTATTGTTTCTGTACCAACATTTAGCTCCTGGACCAAACCAATTCCTAGTGTAATTCCACTGATCACAAAGGAATGACAGCAATGGTAAACTTCACTCATTATGTCTATCAGAAACAACATTAAACGTACTTCCACTCTTTATTACATAAAACTAAGGTTACACAGCAATCACTGAATGCAAACTTGTTGCATGTTTTTGCTTAGAATATTAGGCAATAATTGTTGTCTTTCTAAAGTACATATGGTTTTGGTGACTGGTGTCTCAGAGCCAAGAAAACAGCCCAGAGCAAGACCGAGTTTATTCTTACTTTACAGACGTTGTGGAGGCACTCTGTTGTCACTGGTTGGTAAACCAGCTCCTGGCAGCAGACACACATAAAGGATTGTTCCAGTTTCTTCAGAAAATTCTAGTGTAGGGCAAAGGAATAAAAAAGACAAACTCTATTACAGTTCTTGTAAATGTCACTTATTACATGAAGATGATGAACCTCCAGAAGTTCTTAAGTCCTCCCTATCCGTGAGTGCATCTTTCTAAAAGTAATCAGGAAGCAGGTCCGTAACTGCTCAAAACTGCTCTTTAACCTAAAACTGCTCTTCCACAAATCAGAGAACTAATGGTTTAAGGATTATTTACTTGTCTGTATGAATATTGTTATAAACAAAATGAAACAGACCGGCGGTCCCCTCATGCCTGGTTCTTAGTGTAGGTCAGAAAATTTAGTAATTGTGTTTGGTAACTGCTGCTAGAAATTTGCATGTCCCTGAAAAGATCTCTGCTTTTCTGCCAAGGGAACTTCTGCCCAAGAAAGCCACTTCTGCACCTCCTCTTGTGCTTATGGATCATGGCTAGCTTAATGGCTTCTCCTCTCCTCAGGCCAAATTCTCTGAAGCGTGTAAACCAACCTCACCGGTTTTTAAAGCTTCCCAGGGCATCTCTGAGGAATCTCAAGATACGTTTATACCAGGGGCTTTACACACACAAGCATGCTTATCTCTGGCATCTCCAAATATCTCCAGAATACAAGCTTGGGTATAGAAAAAAAAGCAGATCTACGGGTAATCAAAATATAGAACTTTGTGATAATTTTTAAAATAGCAGATTTATCTTAAACCACACTTTATTTAGTTAAAAAGGAAGGTGGTTGTTTCAAGCAGAAAGATTTATCATTTTCACAGCAGCAACCCAAAGCTACCAGTGATTCCCATTGCCTTTAGCGGCAACCAAATGGAAATCTTACCAGAATTATGGGTAGGAATCTGTAGAAAAATGACTTCTCCATAAGTCAACCACTTTTAAATTATTCTTTTCTCCTTTTTACAAACACGTATCTCTATTGCCTGTCATTGTGCACAATTTTAAGAGCTGAAATTCCTTCTAGTCATTACAGACACTAGATACAAGTCAGATAACAGTAAGTTTACATTATCAGTTCCTACACAAAGACAACTGCAGCAGCATTGCAGCAAAAATTAGTACTGTAAGTGGAAGAACAGGGAGTTATAGATGTTTTTTGTGTTACAGAAGCACCGTAAATAGCCACTGGCAATTCCCAAATAAACTAATTATGTATGTCCATTTTTAGACATCCATTTTCCAGCCAATGGTTTGTTTCTCACCAAGTTGAGTTTTATCAAGTTATTTTAACTTCTTAGTGCTTTGGTTTCTTCTGCAAAACAGTTAAAATAACTATGAACTTGACATTGGTAAAACTAATTACCACTGAAAGACACAGTATTTCAGGAGATATTCCTTTTGGGGACTGTTTTTATACTAGTGTCTATAGTCTCTTCGATCTTGAGCTATTGTTATTTTCTTGACCTTTAGGGGGAGGATGGTATTTTCTCTCTTACTTAAGGTTCCCTCTCTACAGAGTGGGATAATCTAGATTTGGATGAAAATATTTTCATTTCATACCTAAATTTGAAAATTACAGTACTTCTATCTTCTTAAAGCAAGCAAGCTGTATTTTCTGTCATAAAATTTTCTTTCTAAACAAAAAATAGTGACTAGAACAATCTTTCTTCATGTCTGATTTGTCACATCAGCACAGCACAAAAATACATTTATAATTTCAGAGAAAACACGCTCCCTTCAAAAATGAAAAAAAAAAAAAGCCACTTCTAACTTCAAAATGTTTTTTGAGCAAGAAAAGATCTCTATTATGCAGGTGTAAACTGAGCCATCAATAGCAAATTGTACAAGCAAGAATTATTTTCTTGAAATCAAAGTCTTACAAATAAAAATAATGCTAGACACAGTCTGTATTCAGCAAAAGTTCAACAAGCGAATTAGGTTTTAAGAGAGACTCAAGATTTCTTCTAACAGTCTAAAGAAAATTATGCATGCAGCAAACATACTGGTCCTTCCTTAAGAGAAGCAAGTACTTCATCCCACAGTTTCTGGTTCATACAGTCTTCTCTAATCAGCCATTGCTGCTCTTGGGTCAGCTGGAAAGCCTCTCCTTTCCCTCCATCTCCCATCCTCATGGTTTTGGGTGTGTTCGTAGGTTCTTCTATACCTGCTTAAGATTATGACCATCAGATGCAGTAACAGCAAAGTGTTAGTCTAAACTAATAAAAGGGAAGACAAAACTGTTTCTAGAAGGCTAAACATGGATTACACTCATGAAATGCGGCAATCAAATCACTACTCCAACTCATACAAAAAACTGCAGCACACAGTTGCACAGAAGACTGTTCATTTTTCTACAGAGCTTAAGAGGAAAAAAAAAAACTAAGAGTAGTAAATAGGATAAGATCCCTATACTACTACTTAATTACAGAGCATGTGCTTATCAATTTACATTAGTATTCCAAATAACTTCTGTGAAGTTTTCATGCTACTGGCTTCACAAAAGTAACATGACAGGCTTTGCTGATGAGTGCTAAAAAAGTAAAAAGAAATACCATCATCAATTGTCCTTTTCTGGTTTCCGTTACTCTGGCTGGTTGGCTCCTGTTTCACAGTTTGCTTTTTAACCTTATCTTTCTTCTCCTTACTAGCCATGGCTTCCAAATAACCTTCTGGATACTAAAATAAAAAAGCATAGATTTGAAACAAAACTCATACAGGAATTCCCAAATACCAACAAGACTAATTTCTAAAAGACTTTAAAACCCTGTGACTACATATTGAAATAACTACAAAATCACTTTTAAAACCCTACATGATGGAGAAAACATTTAAATTAGCATCTGTTATTAAGAAAGTGTAGTCAAATCACAGAATCGAATCCAGACTGGATTGTATTAAAAGGAACCTGATATCTGTATCTATGCCCTTACAACTATACAAATCAGTTAGGCAAAGCTGAAGACGGTGGTATGCTGTAAGATACTGCCTTGATGAGAAAAGAAACAGTATGTTAATTCTTTCCATCTTTCATGGATTCCGCTATGCCCAAGTCCTCATGGGTCAGTTTACTTCTGTGCCTGAAACACACTATCTGTACAAACTCCTCAGTCACATGGACAGAAAATACATAAAAATGCGCAGGTTTTTCGATTTCTCAGACTCAGTTATAACAATAGTTGCTTGTAGGAATTCTTTCCAGCCTAAGGGTCACAAAACTTGATTCAAACTCTTAATTTTCCAAACCATAGGTGCAAAGCAATTCACTGCTAAGGCAGAAAGCTTCATCCACTGTTCTTCTGCTGTGTCACTATTACAGGATTCTTTCAGTCTGCAGATAATCTGAAGTGTGTTTTGGCATTAAATCCTGCCACAGTGAAGTACAACAAAAAAACGGGGCTTTAATTTCACTGATTTCTATTTCTGGAATTCGTTTACTGGAACTGAGAATAAAAACAATTCTGAGAGTCCTGATTCGAACCTGTACGCTCAGACCCAGTTTCTTTGATCGCTCCATTCCTTCCGAAGTCCAAGGTGCAGGCTCAATGTCATCTCTCCTCAGAAGATAGCGCCAAACTAAAAATCCACATTTTCCAATTTCTGGCCAGTATTTCACCACCTAAAGAACAATATAAAATTACTGCCATTATTTTATCACAAGCCAAACACATGCATATAGTCATACTTTAACTGTTCAAGAAGAAATGAGAAGACTAAGTTATACATTACTATTATACAGAAGCTCTTCCGTCAGGTGCGAAATTTTTGTATTTTTGATAAATACAGTGCTCTTAAAAGGCACACACCTTTATTTCAGATGCTGAGAAGTTATCAAATGCACAAGAATCTAGGATATAGTTGGAAGGAGTGAGGAAATAATTTGATTTCCAGGGATGAATATGACTCAGTAAGATATATAAAGTAGCTTACATATTCAACTTTATATATCCTATTATGGATTATGTTCTGTTATCACTGCTCTGAATAATTTCATTTCAGTTCTTAGCAGAATAAGCTAAGGCTAAAAAGCTATCACGGAGAAAAAAGAATTATTTCTTTTAAGTCATAATGAAGAATTTGCAATGTAACACATAAGAGACTTTTTAAAACAGCTGAAGAAAAATGTTATGTTGCACTCAGTGAAGATCAGAATACCTTGTAAATGCCATCATATCTGTTGCCTTCCTCTGGGGCATATTTGCTGATCCGCCGTCCTTTTGAACTGCGCACTACTCTGACCGGCTTACCAGCTCTCCAATTCTTAGACTCTGCTCCATTTTTGTCATCCAGTGGGGCATCACAGTTAAGGGCCAATGCCCTAGAAAGAGATTTAAAATCTTCATGAACTAGACTGCTTCACACAAGCAGCGTAGAACTTTTCAGTATATTATTTTACAGCTGCAGAACTGATGGAAGCAAGGAGATCCATGCTACCATGCATGGTAAGAAAAAAAATGGGAACACAAAATATTTTGTTGTCAAAGTTCCAGATGAAAACTCAGCTGATATTGCTCAATAAAACCGATCCTTTTAGATTTAATACTCTTCATTTTTAAAAAAAGTACATAGTAACCATCCAAAAAACTCTAAGTAACTGAAATCTCTCACACAATACATAAATTGCCTCAGAGTAGGTGTTAAATAATAGCAGCTAACTCAGGGACAAGTAAACCCCTTTATCCACTAACTACGTGAAGACCCTCTTCTAGAAACCTGGAGCAAGACAGTATGAATACCTACTAGACCAAGCTGCCGTAATGAACAGTATTTCTACTACCACAGCCTGATTTGACCAGGGATTGAAAACCCTTCAGAATCAGATTCAAACAAAACCATGGAGCTCAGAACGGAAGAAATAATATGGTTTGTAAACAGCCATGGTACAAGTATAAAACCCACATTGTACAGAACAGTAAGAGACAGGCGTACAATGCTGACTTTAAAAATGTTTCTTATATAAAAATGAAACTTAAAAAAAGAAAAATATCTGGACAGACAAAATCAATACTGATTCAACTACATGGAATCATCATAATCTTCAGTATCAAAGTGCATGAAAACTTGTATCAAAATCAGTAACTGAGAGCAGCACCTTGTTATACTCCATGCGCGCTAATCCCTGGAAAGCTACAAGGCAAACTTTGCCAGTGGATTCCTCATTTGCTAACAGCAGAGAAATGCTGAGACTAGGGGGTCCAGCTTTTAATTCTGTTTCCCAAAGCAAGTTTGGTCTATTCACTAAATATGCGTGTAAACCTATTGTTTAAACCTACTTCATTCTTCCATCCCTCCTTGTTCTTGTTCACATCACATCCCCTCTCTCTCTCCCTCCCTCCCTTTCCCAGCAGCCAAGTCAGGATTTTCTTCTCTCCCCTCTAAGTACCACCAAAAAGCTTGAAAGAATCCCCCTCCACTCTGCTTGACAGCAGCACATCATATCTAAAAACAGACCTGACAAAGAAAAGGTCTTAGTCAATCTCAGCACCCCACAGATGTTAAGTGGTCAGATGCATAACAGAGATTATGCTCTTCGAAACAGAGAAGGATGGAGAACTCTTTGTTCAGGCAGGCTTTTAGGGCACGTAGAAACACTAAGCAGATGTCTAATTCATCTTCTGGACATATACTTTCTTTTTCAAGCACCTCTTCCTGATAAACCAGCACCCTAATTTCTTGCTTTTCACAGAAAACTATGATGGAAGAAAGGGCTAGCAAAATAGGAAACATTTCTTTTAACATGGGAAAATGAACATGCTTTCTTCCTACTTAAATTTCATAATTGATTTAACCACTGGAGAAACTTAAAAAGAAACACCCAGAATAGAAAACTTCTACCCACGATTTTTAACAGACTTCTCATTAAATTCAAACAGAGTATTCTGAAGGAAATTACAATTTCAACCAGAGACATGACTACTAGCGGCACCAGCAATATAGCAATGTATTTCATTGAGGTGCAAGTGTTTCTTAAATCAACAAAACATAATGCTTGATGAAACGCCTCTTAACAGCAAGAGGCACCACTGTTTACAAAAGTAGCACATACAAGACTGAATGAATATAGCAAAATGTTAGTTTTAAATTAAAGCACTACAACCCAGCTCTTTGTTTTGGAATACTTTTTAATTTTATCGTCAAAACTTACCTATTCATGTGTGTTAATGTCTGATCAAATGAATGTTCTCCAATCCTTTTATTGCCAGAAAGATCTCTACCTCCACTGCCAGTGTAAGTGAATTCATCTCCTCGATCCTGTGCAAGAAGATTATCCTTTGTTTTAGCACTCCAAAGTAAAGCAACACAATTTAAAAAAAATGCGACTTTATTTGTTCTATTTACTCAGACAGAGAAAAACTATACTCCAAGGCATGGGAAAGATGTGTTTTCAATTTCAGCATCACTGTCCTTCTACAGTAGTTGTGCCAGCACAAAGCTACTGGTTTGGATGTAACACATTCACCAAAAAATTCCTATTAAAAAATTGCCTGCCTCAAAAAATTGGACGTTCACATCTTTTAAAAAGCTGTTTTTGAAAAAGAAAAAAAAAATTCTGAGGAGGGGAACACATTCTAGCAAGCAGTTACTTGCTCTAGAGCTTTCATTTAGTTTACAAGAATATCGTGTTTGTAAAATACGTAATAAATACTTCTGGAAGGATCACTTCAGCTTGTGCAAGGGGTTAAGTGCTAATAGCTGTTTGTACAGCTCTGCCTTACCTACAAGGCAGGTGCTTTAATGCAATAATAATCCCAGCTCTGCTGAACTACTAAGAGCTTAAACTCACTTAGATTTGCATTTTGTAAGCTGACATAATTCTGTAGTATATTTCCCACATAAAATTTTCTTTAAATTTAAAGAAGGTTGATAAAATCTTTTACCATGAACCATAAAACCAGACAAAATCTACATACACATAAGTAAAGCCAATATTACTATTTTCTTTAGGAAATATGTCACAGAAATTCTTATTACTCCTGGCAAATTCAAGTATTTCTAGAAAGATACAAATAGATTTAATATGATAGCTCTTTGGAGATGCAAATTTTGTACAAAGCATGAAGCAATAGCAGAAGATAAATACTTAATATGAAAATAATGTTTATATGAATTTTTATAGCAAAAATCTGAACATACTTGTACGCAGTAGTAAAATTCAGTTAATTTCTTACCACTATTAAAAGTCTGACATTATTAACGATCCAGTGCAAGACTGTTACAGATATTTCATGACTGACAACAGCAGAAAAAGAGAAAGTTAGAAAGAGAAATGCTGATTGAACAAGGCCATAGATTAATTATAGAAATTATGTTTATTTTATTCT